TGTTTTTTTTTTTTTTTAACAGGAATTCACATTTATTATTATATTTAATAAACTTCAGATCTGGCAAACTTTTAATTATTTTATTACCTATTATACAATGATAATACAGTATAATTGGAAACTTTATATTGGATGAATTTGTAGATTTCTCTACTTCGAAATTTACTAGTACTTTAAGAAATACTAATAGATTTATATTTTAAATGTAGCATTTTATATCGTTATTAAAAACCTTCCTTGACCCTAAATTAAGATAATTATAGCATTGCACTCTGTGGCGCAATAATAAAATGTGATAGTTTTTCAAAGAACTTTCAAATTAAATTGAAGGTTTTCATTATTTGAATTTCACGCTTCTGTTAGAAATTTATATAAACGTAGTAAAATAACTAAAACGGCTGATTACGTTACAATTATATTAAGTAACAAAGGAGAGGAGGAGCTTTGTTATATTTTTTAACCACAACTTTATAAAATATATTATATAAAAGAATTATTAAAATATCTAACTAATAACCTAAAAATAAAGTTTATTTGGATTTAAATATTTTGCTACAATGCTGCTTATGTATTCGTTATTCCCATCTGTTTTCTGTTAGAAATCTAAAAAAAATCTATAGTAATGATTCATTTCTTTTGATTTATGTACTGTTAAGATATTAAAAAAAAAAAGTGTTATTGCTAATTTATATTAAAGTGTATGAAATAAATTAATAAATTACATAATTAATATTATTTTTTTTTAAATTTTACTGATTCCAAATTTATACTGTTGAAAAAAAAAATCAGAAGTTTTCTAGGACATTTGATCAAATGTGTACTTAAATAATGAGATTTATGAAATTAGTTTTTTTTATTAATAACTGAAATATAAAATAATCAAAAGTATATTTTAAAACAAAATATTAAATTAAATGATAAACAGATTTTTAAAAATATTTTAGTAACTTCTTTACAGTATTAAAATTTAAAATAATGTTGAATATATTGCAAATATTTTAAAATTAAAATTCATTATTTTTAAAGTATAAAATAAAGAAAATTATTGGTGATTATTATTTTTATTTGTTAATCCTTTCATGGCTGTATTTTTATTTGGTAAATAAAGTTAAATTAATTAATGAAAACATTTGAGAAAATCATAATAATTTCCTAAATAAATTCTAAAAATATTTTATTATTTTAATTAC